ATACCCCGTTGTCGATTTCTTCTCAGAAAGGGATCGTCAACATGCATGAATCTAAAGTTCTAAGAACATTCAATGGATTAGCAATTTGATGTTGTAGCATGTTTGCAGTATATTGACAGTGAATAAATAAGTGATTGTTTGTGGATTCATGTTGAAATTGTGACCTTTGCTATCGATCGATGTCTAGATTCACAATTGTGAACAGCCATGACATTTGATTCTCAATCGACATATATCGCCCAAAGTGACCCCATACGCAGGGTCACTAAAGTAACCCAGCTCAGAATTTCTCATTATTCCTCGACTAAGAAAACTTCGCTTCGATCACCATTCACTATAGCCTCCCTGTTGTAGGATTGTAAAATGTTGAGAAAGGGGGGACGTCTTGCTTCAAGATGACAGGTATTCTCATGGATGGAAACTCAAAACATCTACAGGTAGAAAGAAATCTTCAGTAAATGATTAATAGAGGAGAGGGACGCTCACCAGGCGAGACTGAAATTTGATTACTAATTGAATCACGCTTTGTCCCGTCAATCAGTGACGACATGACTTCACGTCGCGTAAAAATCAATTTACGCGTCTCATGCATGCCAATCGCGACCCCCTCACTATCTCTGGTGTTTGCGCTTGGAAAGTTTCAATTTCTGATTCATTATTCCCCGTCGGACTGCATCTGATATCAACCATTGAGCCATCAATTGCCGTGAAATACTGCTCGACATTTGTGGTATCTGTGCTGGTGAATCGATAGGTTTGTCGAGACTCGACACGAGTTTTACTCTGGAAAATTAGTGAGGTATATGAAAACAATTTGAGCATTTTACAAGAATTTATCGTGTCTCAGGGTTCGAACACCAGAGCGTATAACTGTCATTTAATCAATCATTACTGCCGATTGAGCAAATCTTGATTACAGCTTGAGAACCCTAACGGAATACCTCAACCGATACCTGATCAACTACAAAACGAGTACCTTTATTCTCCCTCCAACAATGAGTTCTACGCCCAGTATGAGTCGCTCCCAAACACCTTTATCCAAACCACGTACCAGTGCTCCATCTTCTCCTCCGGAGGAATTCGAACCAGAAGAATTCCCCGAGTTCGAGCCCAATTTCGCCACTGAAGAAGAAAAGAAAATTTTCGAAGAAGAAGAGAAAGCACGAATAGCAAACTCAAAGGCAGAAGAGAGAAGACGAAAAGCGATCGCAAGAAAGAGAGCAGAACATAATGAGTCAAAGGGGGAGCGAGAAGCAAAAGCCAGACAATTGGACGAGTTGCTGAGTAAGAGTGCGGCATTTGGGGAAGTGCTAGTAGGAAAGACAAGGGTCTTGGGGCGTGTGGGAAGTGGAATGGATGGGAAGGCATTGGGTGAACATGATTTGACAATGGCAGAACAGCCCAAGTGTATGGTGGGTGGCACAATGCGAGAATATCAACTAGAGGGCTTGACCTGGATGTATGAGATTTGTATACAAGGCATGTCTGGAATTTTAGCGGATGAAATGGGCTTGGGAAAGACAATTCAGACGATTTCGCTCATTGCATTATTGAGAGAGAAGGAAAGTTATTTGGGTCCACATCTTATCATTGCGCCGTTGAGTACACTCTCGAACTGGATTGAGGAATTCCAGAAATGGACCCCTGATGTACCGGTCCTCTTATATCATGGTACGCCAACACAAAGGAAAGAGCTCCTTCGTACGCAAATGATGAGGCACATCAAAGGCGGCCGTCCCGATGAAAAGTTTCCCGTTGTCTGTACGAGTCCAGAAATCGTTCTTCGCGATCACGCGGATCTCTCAAAAATTAGTTGGGAATTCATTATTATTGTAAGTCTTGTATTCATGGTAGAGTCTTTAATAGCTGACATGAGGTATAGGACGAAGGGCACCGAATGAAGAATTCAGAGTCGAAATTGTTTCAAACTCTGAGGACCTTTACATCTGCTACTCGTCTTCTAATTACCGGAACACCACTGCAAAATAATCTTAAAGAGCTTTGGTCATTATTAAATTTTCTCTTGCCTACAATTTTCACACAATGGGAAATGTTCGAGAGTTGGTTCGACTTTAGTGATTTACAGGACGAGGAAGGTACCGAGGACTTTATTGCAGATCAAATGAAGCAAGACCTAGTCAAAAAGATGCACTTGATTCTTCAGCCACTGTTGTTACGACGAGTAAAGGCTGATGTCGAGCACATGCTTCCGAAGAAGCGAGAATATGTGCTTTATGCACCAATGACAAAGGAACAGATGGAATTGTACAACAAGATTGGTGATAAGACAGCTGATCTACGCAAGTATTTGGAAGAGAAAGTTGTAGAAAGACTGACAGGGGGCAAGGCTGTCAAGAAAGACTCAAGCAAGGCAGCTGATGTTACCGTTAAGGTTGAAGTAAATCCGGAAGATTCTGATAGCGAAGACGAGAAGCCATTGGCAATCCGAAATAAGAACAAAAATGTTACTTCAGAATCTACTCCGGCTCCAAAGAACGCATTTCAACAAATGATGGCGAAGAGAAAGCCAGGTAGACCACCTAAGAATCAAAACGCTGTCCCTTCACCACAACCCTCTGTCGAAAAGGGAAAACCTGGTAGAAAACGGAAGCCAGTAGAAGACTCCCTTCAATTACCAGCTAATAAATCCGCAAAATCCAGCCGAACTGCATCACCAGCTGTCAGTATTCGTAGCCGTAGCTCACGGAGTAGAAGAGTTTACGAAGAAGCTGATGCATCTGGGGAGGATGACCTTAGTGACGACGAGTTTGAAACGAAACTTGCAGCAGAATATGCTGAGAAAGAAGAGGCAGAATTCAAGAACAAGAATCAAATCGAAGATGAAACAGCAAAAATTCTAGAGCTTGCGAGAAAAGAAATCTCTAGTAAGAAGCTAGGCAATCCTGTTATGCAAATGAGATTGGTCTGCAATTCTCCTTTAAATTTTTACAATCCTTGGTCCGCGGATTCAGGTATTCCATTCAACGAAACTCTGGTGACTTCTTCTGGAAAGATGTTACTTCTCGATCGATTACTTCCATCACTGTTCTCGCGTGGTCACAAAGTTCTTATATTTTCACAGTTCAAAACCCAACTTGATATTCTTGAAGATTACGCTCGCGAATTGCGAAATTGGAAAGTTTGTCGGATTGATGGAAGTGTGGCACAAGACTTTCGACGTCAACAAATTAAGGAATTCAACGAAGATCCAGAATTCAAACTCTTCCTTCTCTCCACCAGAGCCGGTGGACAAGGAATCAATCTCGCAAGTGCTGATACTGTTATTCTCTTTGATAGTGATTGGAATCCACAACAAGATCTTCAAGCCCAAGATCGTGCTCACCGTATTGGTCAAACTAAGCCTGTCGTCGTATTTCGTCTCGCTACCAAGGGTACTGTTGAAGAGGATTTGCTCATGAGCGCTGATGCAAAACGTAGGTTGGAGAAATTGGTTATCAAAAAGGGAGGGTTCAAAACTATGGGACAGAAAATGGATACCAAAGAAGGAATGAGTGCTGATGCTTTAAGAGCATTATTATTAAAGGATGGAGAGGTCTACACATGTAAAGAAGACGATGAGATCTTGACAGAAGAGGATCTAGATACGTTGTGTGACAGGAGTGAAGCGGCTTACGAGAGAGCGGAGAGGGGCTTGGGTAATAAAGACGCGTTTAAGATTGTCGAGACCAAAGCTGGTGGTTTGATGACAAGTATGGAGGGGAAATAGAGCAGGCATCTTTAGATACGGATGTTAGATGACTGGATAAAGTTTTCTTGGTCGGACGGGAGTGCAAGCGCTGTAGGTTTTGCTTTGTTTTGTATCAGATTTGTATAACAATAGCGCGATATCATGAAATAATGTTTGATCATATGTATAGCTTATACGGTAGAAATAAAGAGGTGTCATGAATACACAATCATCATACTGCTTGGTATGGTATCAAACATCCGCTCATTGTGTCTTCTTTGCTCTTCCTGTATGGGATGGAAGTTACTACCGTACTCAATTTTACTCCATATTCTTGTGCGCCAATCTAATTTCTTACGGTTCCTCTTTAGATATTTATGTTTGTTCCCTTGAGCTTGAGATACCAATCATCTCCAGAACAATACCCCGATCCAATAAGCAACAGGCGAAGAACCCGAAGAGCCAAGAAAAAAACGCTTCTCAAGAAAATCGAAGAAATCGAAACGAAAATGAAATATCTCCTCCTTTATCTGATCCTAGCTGTCATCTCCTGTCTCCTCCACATCTATCTCTTCTCCTACACCCTCCCATCACCCCACCAAAAACCAACCGATACCTTCCAACGCCAATCTCAGCCCTGCGCCGATCATCGATCGCCCTCGGGATCTTCAATATTGGAACTAGAATTCCACACCAAAGACGCGCATGAGAAATCGCCACATGTGGAAAAAGCTATCATGGGAATGACAACGTCAGGGGAGGAGGAACAAAGAGAAGAAAGTGTACCGACGAAAGGATACTGGTTTGGAGGCTATAGTATGGCACTGAGGGAAATGATTGTGATTGTTGCGGTAGGGAATCCGCTGGTGTTTGGGGGTGTGGTGGGTTTGTTGATTGCGTTCTTTAGGGTGAGGTATGGGGGGTTGATTGGAGGTTAGGGGTTGGGGAGATGTGGGCTTGAAGAGGAAAGGGGAGGGGATAGATTGAGATAGTGCGAGCTTGTTGGCGTACTTGATCATGATATTGCACTCTCTTAGCAGTGTTCAAGTACAGGCAATGTGCGAATCTGGACTTGGTGAATCACATACAGGCGTTTTGCGAGATATAAATACTACTATCTATTTGAGATGAGTGTTAGATGCGAAGTTGGCATGTCTTTTACCGAAGAACTCGTAATTCGTAACGAAGAAACATGAATCAATTTGTGGTTCAAATTTCATGATGTATGTTAAATAGAACTGGCATGAAAGAAAAGAAAACAACGAGCCCATGCGAAAGTTGTGGTGTCCATTTACTTATGAAGGATCTGGAAATGGAAGTGGAGTTCGCTTCGTGTGATTGATCCGACTACGCATATGTGAGTAATAAGTGACATGGTTTTGAATCATCGGCACCGCTGATTGTTATCTTGCATATATAAACAACCTCAAAATACCTCTTCTACATACAAGTTCTTCTTGATAGTTTATCAGACGAACCCTATACCATTTGCATTACCTTGAATCTGACAGACGGAAGTCTAGCAACTACTTTGACAAAAAGAGCCCTCTCATACGACATGCCCAATTCCAACCTACAAACCTACTACCTCATTTTAACTCTCACTCTCCTCCTCTTCTGGACAACCATAATCTCTCTCCTCATCTACTTCATCTCCTCCCTCGAACCGCCCAAGCCCACTCCTCCCTGCCGTGGCAGTTTGATCCACGAAGAAATTTGTTACTGTCCCGCTTCCATCTCTCATTGTACTCCAACCCCACCCGAATCTATCACAATTCGAAATCAAGATTCTGGGCCCGAAACTCCGGTTAAACAGATAATAATATACTTTGCGCTCGCAATGTCCATATGTGGAATTTTGGTACAGATTGTGGTACTGAGTGGATGGTGGAGTCCTTGGGGAGAGAAAATCGTGTGGAGGAAGGGAGCATCAGGATGGGAATGGAAAGTTAGTTCAGTGGGGAAGGGAAAGAAAGGAGGAAATAGTGAACAAGCTCCTTTGATTGTAAGCGAGAGTTAGGGGGATGAGCTGTTATTTTTAGATGATACCATTGAGATGACATTGTTGAGATTGTAGTGAAGTTGGATAGGAGAGATGATGGATTTGGAGAATTGAGACTTCGCTTGGGCAACAAGCTTGCAAATTCAAAGATAGAGCAGTCTTAATGTTAAACGGGAAACATGCGACTTTCATGCTAGCCTGACCAACTCTGTTGACGACAGTTACAGCTTCCCAAGCTTTTTGGATACTGAGACCAGTTTTTGAAATATCGATTCACTTTATGAGCCACAGGAGTGACACCGCTAGGCCACTTTATAAAAATTGGTATTAGTAGTAGTAAACAAACTATCGACTGCTCTTCTCATTCTCAATCTCCTGCTGCAACTCTGCCAAAACCTGTTCTCGTGTCCTCAAATGTGCTTCCAAAGCGTCGACCTGTTCCTTGACCGTAGCGATCTCATCCGCAACCCCCTTTAAGCTTGCACCAATTTTACTTTTTCCCTCACCAGATTCCAAGTCTCGCAATTCGCGGCGTTTGTAATCCAATAGCTGTTCTAACTCTCTCTTAACTAACGCGGGTTTGGTATCTCGTCGTCCACCAGATCTTGCAGCAGATGCAGATTCAACCTTTTCAAGCTTGGCTTCAAGCTCCGCAAGTTGTTTCTTTAGTCTTACTTCCTCCCAATCCTCAGTGGTTTTCGTGCCCGAGAAATCCGTGCCCGCAGGTCTGTAGCTGCTCTTTCCGCCTATTCCAAGTCGACTCATATATGTCTCTCCAAATTTAGCTTTGCGGCCAGTACTTGTTTCTTCGTTACCGGTAACGCCCCATTTTTGCGCCGGTGATGCTACACGTTGATTATCTATCTGGTAATCAATCTGATTTCGTTCAAAACTTGCTCGAAGCGATGGTGGAACGGTTCTAGGGATGCGATACCCTTCGTGCCTATTATTAAGTATATGTAAGAAGGCGAGAGTAGCATCTTTTGTAATAGCGGGTGCAGCAGATGGGTTGATCAAATTCCAGGCCGAGCGAATATCGGTATCTGGGACTTCGAGAGAAGAGTAGAGGGTATCTAGAGATTCAACTATGCGAAGTTAGACTTCGTTGGAATAATACCATAGCGCGCATGCACTTACAAGTGATATCTCCTCTGCCATCCCTATTCGCCGAGTATATCTCTTCGTATTTAGACTTATCTGATGGGCTCATGTACCAATCGAAACCATCCTTCAAGCCCGGGGTATCATCATCATCCTCAACACGTTCAAATTGAACTTGTCTTCCGGTAAGTGCTCGACTGGCCTGGACCAAATGTGCTTTCGATTCAGGGACAAGCCAATCCGGTAACGCTGGTGGTACATCTGCATATTCCTAGAAGATCCTCACATTAAAACCAAACCAATAAACAATGATATGAAATCACCATACCCCGTTAACAAGATCGAAGATCAATCTCATGGCAACACAGAATTCCTCAAAATCTAAATTCCCATCGTTGTCTACATCTGCCAAGTCCCATATCCGTTCGAGTTGTTCATCTCGTAGTTGACTGTTTTTCAACACTGGTGCGGCCTGCGCACCAGTAAGATGTGTGCCACCATTCGATAGAGAAGCAAATATCTCCCAATATTTCTCGATTTCGCTCTGTTCAATTCGTTTGTTAGACATTTTGTTATGTTTTGGCTTGAAAGCTCACCCCCAAAGCTTACTTTAAGGCGGAGGCACGGAGGTCCACACTGTGACCAAACTTGGGTTGATTAGGTAATCATAATCTCAGTTATCGGAACAACGGTGTATCTGCCAAAAGCGCTAAGAATAGGTACCCCAGAACCTGGGCTGTACTCGAACAAATCAAGCACTCAACATGATATCATTAAACGACCATACGTACAACTCGAACTGGAAGAACGAAGAGGTTCAACACTTTACCGTATAACGATCGATTCACTTTGACAGTCTATTCGGTCGACCATCATCAGTCTAATAAATTCTTAACACCTCCAAGTACTCTTAATTCGAAGGAACGAACCCTACAAAAGCATCCGCATTCTTCTGAACAATAGCCATAGCATCTCCTTCTACCATATTCCTCTGGTTACCTCAAAGTTTTTACGTCTTTTGACATATATCCTCCGATTTTTCACATTAATTCTAGATCCCTGGAGAGCCTCTAGGCTCTTTTCACATTGTCTTGCACAATGACACCACCAATGTTGAATGGTATGGATCCCACAGACTCTGCAACAAGTCCTGCAGAGCACAACACCACTCCTACTACTTTATATTCATGGAGGGTAAGTTCACTCGGCTCATACCCTTGTATGAAACCATCTAACTTGGTCTAGCCTCCATCGCCGCCTCATATCCACATACCACCCCTCTCCGGCTCAGACACTTCCATCACTCTATCGAAATATCGCGGGCTAGATGATGAACAAGAGACTCGGGAAATATTGAGTGTGATAACACAAGGACAAAACGTAGCCGTGGAAAAACCAGATTGGAAATATGAAATGCGACGCCATATTCAAGCAATTTTATCCTTCCTTTATCTCGGACCATCCTCTGGCGCGAGAGAAATCGAAACCCTGAGACGAGAAGGAATTACAATGCTACTCGTAATCAGAGATACCAAGACAGCCCAAGCAAGAATTCTGAGTGGTGCAAAGGTAGCAAAACAATTAGGCATCGAAGCCGGTGCCATTGATGTCAGCGGTAACATGGAACTCATCGCTGCGTTTCCAAAAGCCATACAGACCATAAATGATCATCTCATCCGAGTATTCAGACACCGGAATCCTCGAGGAGTAAACAGTCAACCTTTGGCCGCAACACCGAAAGTTCTTCTCTTCTGCGAATCTGGAAATGAGCGATCTGCTGCTGTTGCTGTAGCGTATGTCATGGCAACTTATGAACTAGGACTCATCGAAGCCATACAATATGTGCAAAACCAGCGGTTCTGTATAGCTTTTGATGATGAGATGAAACATACTCTACTAAACTTCCATCAACTTCTGGAAGCCAGAAGAAGTGTCACCCAAACTCGACAGGCTGAGACAACTGTATCATACAAGTCCAAGAGACGACTTGAGCTAGACGATGATGATGGTGATGTAGATATGGGCCAACAGGATGATCGGGATAGATTTTCTGGGCGTACAAAGTTTGCTCCGTTCATGTAACCTGCAAAGCAGCATATGGCGAGGCATATTGCAGGATCTGATGATTTAAGTTTCAGGGTGGATTGGCGTAATGGTATTATAGGACACTTAAATTTGTCGCATGGCAGGCGTTCATCGATACCCCAAGGCAGATGCTGGAGTAATGTATCTTACAGTACAAACATGAATTTGAGTAGGATTTTAAATTTCACAATTGTCGTGTTAAGTTCATTTTGGTTGAAAAAATCTACCCAATATATGTGCCTGTTCCCAACAACGTACTTCCTAAAAATGGAACAGAAGTCATGGGAAAGATTTCATTCAAATTTCTCCTTAGCTTAATCCCCCCCCAATATACACATATTATTAAATTTACACGACTACCTCAACCACCTGGTTGCAAGCCTGAAAGTGGGCTTTTAATCACGTATCCTATCGATGTCTACCACGCCCAATCCCATTACGTGAACGTTATGGCCAGCTCAGCCAATTTTCTCATTTCTCTAGCTGTCTCGCTAAAACAAAGTGCGCATTTATCGATTCGGTAGAGGGCATGAAGAGAGTTTAGAAAACCCAAGCTTAGAGGACTTGAGTATATCGATATGAGCAGGACAGGGTAACTAGAAGGAAACTCAAGTGAAGATACCCCAGTGATCCTTTGCTAGATTATGAAAGCCAGACGTGAAGATAATGCTCCGTTCATATGGATCTGATGTGCGAGTTTAAAAGTGAGTCCTTGGCTTGGGTAGCTTTCGACTATATGGGTGTCGGATGGCTATTCGTGCACAGTAAAGGATTGTGAAGATGTAGGCGATTTGATTGGGAATTTCCAAAATGGAAGAGTTAAGACTTTAGTGAACCGAGTGGGTTGAGTGACTTGGATTTGTGGAGAGATGAGCATGTGGTAGTGCTATCGATGTGAATAGATGATAAATTGGGGATGCTAGCCGATGCTTGATAGTTTGTACCTTTCTTCTGCTATAAGAAGTGGATACGTTTCATAGGAATTTGCAGGCGATTCAATGCGGAATGTTGGGTCTGGCTGTGAAGATAAACGTCGGGCAGATCCAATGGCTCTTCTGCCAAAGGAATTCGTCTAAACTCGACATAATTCAAGCATTCCATCGTACTCTCTTCTCTACTATTTTCCATACACCATCTTTGGGTTCTTCGCTCCCTGTCTTGCTTGGATCAGAACTGAGAATGTCGATATAGCGAAAGGAATGGATATGTCGAAGTATAACTATGAGGAGAGATAGTGCTATGAGCGGGGGACTGGCTATTTGAAGACTGAAGAGGATGAGTAGTTTCATGTTCTTGGTGGTTTAGTATCGTTTTGTATGAGGTCGAGGTGGAGAACATCAAGTCATGGATACAAATATGTGCGATTCGAGGCTTTTGTTATCTCTTTCTCCCTTGGTGTCGTTTTTGATGTTTTATCAGTGCAGTTTGAACGTGTTTTCAAATAATTATCGCTGCCATGTTTGCGTCGGAATGAGGTGGAGTTGCGTGGTTTTCCTAGACGAGTATCTAGGCTAGACCTCGTCTAATTATATACTCCTATCTTCTTTTACCATATTCATGGATTCGAACCCCTTCAAAACTCCGGGAGTTCGGAAAAGCGGAGCGATACTATCACATCTACTCCTCTTCAAAACGCTTAAGGAGTTTTCTTTCGCCTTAAGAGTCCCAAAATGAAAATTTCAGCAAAAGCTGATGGTGGCGGTTTAGAAATTTGGCGCCTGAATCTTCACTTGTGATTTCATGATCATGTAGGTTGACACTACTCTGTAAATTCAAATCTCAAAATATAGACCACTGTCCGCGTGGAATCCTTGTGCCATGCTAACTTGACTGGTTCAGCCCGCGTGGGTTCAAGGTTCTCATGATTTCCGCAACTCCTTTGGTTGTTCCGGAAGGTAATGGCAGCCAGATTGAATCTTGGTTGTGTAACGAGGGACTAATGTTACGAACGATTATTTATCAAATGCAATTAGTATGATTTCGAAAATATCTTCTATGTAAGTAGTCAAAGAGAGACACGAATGCAAAAATCCAATCTCAACGAGAAACTGGCCATATAGGAGTGACGGCTGATGCGTTGTGTTTCTTCAAATCGATGATAGATACGCGATAATATTGCAGGCAATAAATTGTCAGCCTATTATATAGATTCGGTTTATAGCAAATACCCGCTAAGAAAAAGTGGTAGAGAAGAGAATAATCTAGCTCGGGTTGAATGTGTGTCACAAAAGACGAATGATTACTATTCCTTTCCAATAACTCATCAGCCTCGGATCCAGCCCTCGCTTGCAGGAAGATGCTACCCCCACCAGGCTTTCAATGATTACTGATCCCTGGTATATGTGGGACATCGATGACAATGCATGCATGCAACAGATTTATTCCAGAGGTTTATATGAACTTGACATAGAAAAGTGCTTCCAAATTTACCATTTGTGATAACACGAGAGGTTATGATGTACCTCAAATTATTTCCGAGGACTGATCAGTAATGTATGTTGATCATCGAGTGCCGACATTGCGATTGAGTACTTCACGTACTGGTTGTGTCTCAGCAAGCGGCTTTCGTGATGTAGTCGAGGGTTAAGACGATGAGAGCAAAATCAGGTATAAGGACTCGAGGAAGCCCTCATACAAGTCTTTTCCAACACCATTGAGATATCCTTCAACTTTGAAATACCTCACTCGAAGTTTCATAAATACATTACGAGATTCTACCTCAAGCATCATCATCATTCAAAATGTCCCGACCGGATATCTTCTACCAACCTCCAAAAGGGGAAAACTCTGGGCTCCCTCATGATCCCTTCAAATCGTTCGTTATCCCTCGTCCAATTGGCTGGGTGAGCACAAAATCTTTGGTCTTCTCTTTCACTCATGAAAATTTGCGCTCCATGTTCCAGTTCATCCTCTCTAGAAATTTTTTCCACTTATTCCATTCAACCCCTCTTCTCTTTGTATCTAACTGACAATCATCCAGATTTCCACAACCTCTAAGAGCGGTCAAGATAATCTCGCTCCTTTTTCACAATTTAACAATGTATCTTTTGATCCTCCAACCATCATGTTCATTGGTCATCAATCCGTCTACAAACGACAAAGTAAAGATTCCATCAATAATGCTAAAGATACTGGGGAATTCGTTTGGAACATGGCTACGTATGTTTTTCTATCCATCTCTAATCAAACCCCTTTCTCGTGACCTTCCCTCTTCCTCCAAATCATTCAGCTAACAAACCCTAGCTACGATCTTCGCGGTTCTGTCAATGCCACTGCTCTCGAATCATGGGATGACGAATTTCCCCTTACTAAAGTAACAAAAGTCCCCAGTAAAGTAGTCAAACCCCCTCGCGTAGCCGAGTCCCCGGTTCAATTTGAGTGTAAAGTCCATTCTATTCTTCGAATTACTGGGGACTCTTTGGTGGGTCATAGTGATATTGTTATTGGACGAGTGGTGGGAATTCATATCAGGGGCGATTTTATTACAGGTGATGGGGTGAGTAGTTTTGCCCCTCTTGATTCTGATCCTGGAAGGGCTAGCAAGAAGACTGATGAAAAACTAGCTTTTCGATGTTTTGAAGGCGGCTCCGTTGGCTCGACTCGGTTATCATCAATACACGGCGATTAACAATATTTTCGAGATGGAAATGCCGTTTATGCCAGATGATCATGTCAGTGGTAATACACTGGGAGGTGTGGTTCCTAAAGATATTGATGACGAAGATGTGGCGAATAATGGCAGTGAGGTGAAGAAGACGATAGCATTGGAGTAGAGGGGTATTGAGTTCCGCGGGCATAGATTTGGGTATGAGTCTATGAAGACATTCAAGATATGGAAAGAAAGATGAGGGTGGGTATCAGCCAATTGTTGCAATGTTGTCAGCCATAGAGTCGTTCATTTGAAGGCCATTATCCTTTTATACACGTCTCATAGTTTCTCTTTATTTGATTCGAGTATAGAATTTCATTAGACACGATTAAATTTACACACTTATGGTATTGACAGTAATATATTCATGCAATAAAATCAAGAAAACTACACTTGAAGTATAATCTATGAGACATGATATCATACAAACCAGATATTCTTGAGACTTGACTGAATACTATATACTTCAACGTTTACTTGATGAGGAAGATATACACAAATTTATAAATCCTGATCTCACATGTCAAGATATGGAAGTAAAATTTAATTGCATATCTCACTCCTTCACGACGTCACTTGAGCGTCATCGTAGACATAGACCGCCAAACTGATTTTCGTTGCACATCTCAATCTATCACAGCGTCATTATTATTCTTGGATTAAGTAACAACCTTTAAAGATCCAATCGCCACGGTGCCAGTGTGAGAGTGTTGTTGCATATCTTGATATCCTGCAACGTCATTGTAGCATAAGTTTGGATTTAACCGAGATCAGCCCATGAAGAATATGACCGCGGCGGTTTGTTGCATATCTCTTTTATTCTGTACGTCATTCGACCAAAATTAGAGAAAAGATTCTGTAGCAATACGAGTGAATATGCACACGTGAGTGCACTAGCACACTAGCGCACGAACGTATAGCATATAGCTCTCGTAGCTCTAAATCTAGAAGAGATTAGACACAATATCAATGAATGCATTATACCTATTATGAAGACGTCATAATCACCACCGAGGTGATACCTACAGATTCTGTAGCGTATCTCTTGTTCTCTATATCATTATTGCATTCAGGGTTATACTTCTCAATGCACAAACTAGCCTTCATCACGACAGCTAGAAGAATTTTGGTCTGAAACCTTAGTCATGGCTTAGGAACCTCACTGCAATAGTTCACAGATTTCTTAGGATGATGCTGATAATTTAGAGCTATTAGATGTGCGGCATTTTGTCCAGATGCTTCTGGGTATTCAATGATCTGAGGCTAATTCAATTTGCCAGAGCTAGCAAAGAGAAGTGTCACCTTTGCAATTTGCATCTTCATGAAATTGTTATGATCGTTATGATTGATATTATAAAGTCGGCATTATGTAACCATTAATGAAAGGAACTCATATTGGCTACTCAGTCAGTTTTGTGTTTCAGCCATTCAACTTCAGTGTTTTGTCTTTTCAGTTTTCTCTGCCACCTAGAACCATCGCAAACATGCTACTACTACCAACTTTGGAAAATCCACACGTATAAAAACCATTAACGTGTAAAGGATTGTCGGATTCGGCATCATGATTGAACTACACCGATTCATAAGACGGATTCTTTTTCTTATATGAAAACCTGGAAGCATTAGCTCACTGCATAAGTATAAAATTTCCTGTCAAACTACACACCTTCTTCAAACTTTTCTGGCAATCGGACAGAGCTCAGGCTCATAGTAGTAACTTTTGTGGTCTTCTTCCCGTGCAAATATGCTGTCCCAGTCTTCTTCGCCATACAATATCCATGAACCGTGCTCCATCGTAGCGTACTTTACCATCTCTTTGATCAACATGAAAGCTTCACGATCTGGTAATTGGTCCCAAGCGGAGTTTCCTTTATATCGAGCTGGCTTTCCGATCAAGTCCACCCCCAAGTATATCTCTTCAAGATTCTGATGATTCAACAACGTCTTGAACGAAGAGTAGACAGTGTCATGCCATCCATCTGTCTTAACTCCAACATCCAGTGGACAATCTGGAACACATACACCGTCAAACTCAGTGAACAAAACAGACAAAACTCGCAGATTGACGAAGCTTTCTTTTGTGGCAATTGTCATAGCCTCAAAGTACATGAGATCCGCATGTGCAAATTCCGTTTTTCTAAAGTAAACGACAAGACGGGCCAGCATAGTAAGTTTAGTTATGCAATTGACATAATGACGGGGGGTCCAAGAAAGAAAAGTTTGTAAACCATCAGGAGAAGGCTCAAGTTCGGGTTCCTGATCCCATCTCCAACTTCCAATAACAAAATTAGTTTTGGTATAAAAGTACTCAGCAGCATCATGATGAATCGACTTGCTCACTCCGAGAATAGCGTGAGAGTTTGATGAAGGCTTGTGATTTTCTTTATAGGCAGAAGAAAGAGGCGATCTAACTGGTACCGGGTTTGGTCTGACGATTGAAAGTTGATCGTATATCATCCAACGAACATCTAAAGGCAGCTTCAAGAACAAATCCTCCCATGCTTTACTTTCAGGATTGTATGGCGGTGGAAAGAGACATTGTGGTGGGTCTTTGAAGGGCCGAACAAGTTGTGGTAAGTTACTGGTGCTCCTGTTGACTCTGCATTTTTTTTTCGCAACTGCAGTTTCTCTCAAATCTTTTGGCTTGATTGTAGTAAGATAGATCGGGTATGCTGGCCTAATGGTACAACGATACCCATCAATTATGAATGTTAAATCATGTATTACAGCAGGCTTTTTTCTCTCTTTAACCAAGGGAGTATACACAAGCGGCATTGTAACAATTTTTGATTCAACCAACGATTTTGGTGAACGGCTGTTTGATGACAATGGAGCTTTTAGCGATATTGCAATCATTCATATAAGGTGTTGATATTGATTGTTGACAATATCTAAAAAGAGCAGAATAATTCATTCACAACGTGGTATAGTGAACGAATCTGTGAATGAAGGTTGAACGGAAAATCTGAGATTGTACTAAGAAGTTACTCCTCTGCTCTTTCTCGTTATAGAATGATATATGCCATAGTAGCATTTGCAATCGTTGTGACATGGCAAGTCTTCGACTTCCTGGTTTGCCAAAAGTCAAAAACATATAGGATAAGATAGAGGTAGCGGGACTTAAAAGGCAAGTGCACACTGGAAAGCCAGAAAATCGCTTGATCAATCTTGCAGTTGCATATTCCTCTCATCGCACCTTCCGTTCATATAGATAGTCAACCCTAACTATTTCGAGCTATCCGGAGATACAGAAGAACATAATCAAATTCTTTGAATACTCGGAGCGTTTGAGCGACGGAGAGAAACTCTCGTATGGAGGCTCTTTTAGGGACTGTTTTGTGTCGAAAGGTCATACTATTCCCCATTGAGCTCCAAAAACAATACGCTATAAAAGCATCAGAACAGATGACGTATTGAAAATAAGTAATACACCGAATAAGACGTGCATGGCAAGTAAAGTACAAGATAAAAAGGAAAATGGTGATTTGCATGATCTCGCTTTAGAAAAATATGTGAATGCACACCCCAATCGACCCTCCAAGTATTATTTTGGGTTTCATTGATCGTCTGGTTATATTAATAGATTTGATTCATACGAGAAAGTGTGATAGTTTGATGAAAGCTGGTTTGAAAGCGAAGAATCATGTAGATACATCGATCGGCAAAAACCGACAGTGATGTTGCGGTATGGATAGGCATGAGGAAAACATAAACATACATGATCTGATCAAATAATGGCTTTTCCTGCCAATAATAGGTTACTAATTTTTCATAGCTGAAAGTTTGAGGACTGGTAGGCTGGGTAGAAGTTGATAATATTGAAAGCAGCACGATGTACAAAGCGACTCAGCATTACTGTCAAATCAGCTCAAATCAATTGATTGGATTTAGATATCGAAATCCTTTTGCTGTCGGACTGCTATTCACAACATCAACTCCAATCCTTCTTTCTTTGAAATATGCCATTAAAAACTCCTTTCACGCTCTCACATTCTCTTTGGTCCCTTGACGATAGAATATCATCCTTAATATGCATCCAAATTTCATTTGTTTCAGGAGACTCCCAAGCGCCATCCTGATTCTTCAAAGCTCTTTTCATCGAGTCTTTAATTACGCACAAAACGAGACCACCGCGTGTCAGATAGTGCCTGGGACAGAACAGATATGAATGTGGGTCGCCCTGTAAATGCATCCCAAGGGTTATCCTTTCGAGGTTGCTATATTGGAAAAGGTTGTGGAACGAGTTGAATAGACTTTGCTCTATTTGCCAAGGATGGGACGTCGGTCGAAAAGAATCTAGGGGTTCTCTCTCACTATCGACATCATTGAAGATGATATTGACTACTTGTAGACCGGAAAAGCGTCTAAGAGTGACAGTTGTCATATCCTGGAACTGTCTCAGAACGCTATTAGAAATATAGGCTGCAGAAGGACTCATACGATAGGATACAATATTGCAAGGCCATAATTCAGAATAATCTAAAGCAAAAGAAATCAGAATGGTAAGTTCTTTGATGCATGAAACATAGAACCGCGGCACCCGAGTGAGAAAACATCTGAATCCGTGGTTATTGGCCCGAGTAATCGATTTCTCAGTACATGTGAAGGGGTCCAGGCGATGTAGGGCATTGACAGAAAGTCTAATGACGAAATGATTATTCTCGTAGAAATACTGCGCAGCATCATGATGTATTGCCTTGTTCACTTGGAGTAAAGAAGTAGCGCCCTTTGGTGGCTTGCGTTTTCTTCTTTGAGGATGTGAGCGAGAAAGAGTGTCCAATGGGGAGACAATTTCAATTCGATTCTCTTTGACAAGTACATATTGGTAGATAATCTGTCGAATTTCCAAGGGCAAATCGAGAAGTCTGAGCCTAGATATACTATCGCCAGCCTTGTTGCTGATTTTTATTCCCTTTTGAGTGGCCTTCTTTGGAATGACTCGTTTGGCGGCGACTTGCTTTGCAAGATTCTTTGACTTGTTGTTGGCCTTGTTGTGAGCGCTACGCGTTACAGCCATGTTTGGATGGGATTCGAAAATTGAAGTATTTCGGTCATAAGAGTGAAATGATTTATTTTGAGCTAGATGAATAAGGTCTCGAAGCGTCAGTCGTAAGAATGGAGCTAAACTGCCTTGGATAGTTGTGGGGCCATTTTGGAGCTATTTATAAAAAAGTTGAATGGGATGAATGGGATGAAAAGGTGACGTCTGTGAAGAGGAGTGAATGATGAATTCACTTTCGTCGAAAATTATCGCTGTCGTTGTCGTTGTTGCCGTTGTCGTCGATTCTAATAAGCGGAGTCAGTAGAGGGTAGAGTAGTGGGGAAATAGAAAAAGAGAAACAGAAGGGGAAAGAGAACATACCATATCATCATGAATTTGAAGGAACTCATTGTGATCAATTTTAACTCTGATCCAATGGTCTAGGATTGATACTCTTTCTATGAGAGTATTCAAAGACTTATTGAAACCTTAGGACTCGTAATATTTTCAGAGTACCAAGAGTAAGCGAATTGGTAAATAGAAATGAAAAATGAAAACTCTACTTATATTCTGATAGTATAGTTTGACTCTAGTTATTTCCAACTACTTCGAAGAAGCTGAGTTTGTATACACTTTTGATATTCATAGTTATGTCGTAGTTTCCGGGTTGGGGTTCGTGTAATATGCTCAATGCAAATTCCTGAATGAGATGAGTAGGTACCCATAGGTTCATCATTTGCTCCAGCCTAACAGTCCTGATTGTAGACGAAATGCTTTGAATGCTTCATCCCAGATTAGATAGCCGATGGTAATATCAATCTATCACTAGATACTTTGAATACATTTTCATGCTATTGTGGCTCAAGTCCAATGTGGTTGATCTCATTCATGTGCAAAGAGAAGCTAAGGAGACGTCATTTTGAAAGGGGGTTGAATTTATTATGACCTGTGAGCAAAAATGACCTGTGTGTAGAACTCGTAAAAGTATGAATGATGGCGCGATCTTCGATTTCTGGAACTACTGTAGTGGTATGTATAGCCATAATACGTTGAAGTTACGATATCCACTTTGGCCACGAGGTTAAGTGGTGATACAAAGATTATACACAGGTGTATGCCAAGCCCCTAAAGATCGCTTCGGAAGTACATGCATTACATACCTCAGATACCTCAAATACCTATCCATCCATTGACATATTGGTATTACCTTGTTATTTGAAATTTACATTATCGAGTTCCTAGATAACGTGGTTTATCAGTATGTGCATCATATCAGTATGTGCACTACTTTTACCTTAATTATCTATATTACATTAATATAAAATAATAATAATGCTATAAAATAGAATCAAATTATATATAATCTAAAGATTAATTAATGTTGGATCTAATTGATAAGTTTGTGTATTATATAAAACACTACTGCATTTACTATATTGTTATATAGCAGATTGCCTTTTTGTTGAAGAACTATTATTTGTGTACTTATTGTATTGTATTTGATTATTTATATTTTCTTGCTTCAATATATTATGTCCATTTTCTATTGAAAGTGTTTCTCCTTTTTGTATAAAAGTCTTTTGAGTTTTGCGATGTTTATTAAGTGCTTTATTCGCTTTACAAAGATTATGAATCTTAGTACTTAAAAGTGTATTCGTGTGAGCTAGGAGTTTTGTACCTTTAGCTAAAGCTGTAATTGTTTTAAATATAGGTGTAGGGGAATTGCTTAGATATTGTATAATACAACTCTTAATTAAAGTAGATTGAGAAAGAGTTTTGGTAGGATTATGAGGTGTTTGAGATTACTATATCTTAGGATCAGTTGAGGTTGATCTATTTGATAGAATTCTTATTCGAATATCCAGCTTTGAAAGTATAGCTTTTGGATTAAATGGGATGAGCCTAGCTTTACAAAACTCAGCTTTCCTATTTGATATAGATATTACTTCAATATATATAATTTTGAAAGCTTGAAAGAACTTGATTTTGGTAATATAAGTGATATGTGCTTTAATAAAATTCTCGATTTATTGATTATACAAATACTTTAAAGAATTAAAACAATTGATATTAAGTGGTTGAGTTAAATACAAAGAATGAGGTAATAAATCAAGTAGTATAATATTGTTTTCCTTATAGTATTCCTGAAAAACTATAGATTAATAACTTTTATGTTTATTAAGTATTAGTATACAATATCCATCTACTTTCTTATTTATAGTATGCTTATCAAAATACTTAATCTATTCAAAACCAGTTTTATTATCTATCTATTTATTGGGAGTAGGTTTTATAATCCAATTATATAATAAATCACTTTCAGTATATTAGTTTGAGAAGTGATATTTGCCTTTAATTAGTAGAAACAGAGATATATTGTGACCCTCTCCATTTATACAAATAATCGCTGTAGTTTATTCTCGATTACTAGGTTGTATAGCTTTATTTCTATTGTATTGATTGGTTTTAGTAATTACTATATATAATAATATTTGTTCTATTATAAAGCTGGTTTCATCAAAATTGTAGAAATCGCAATCGAGAATATTATATTTGGTTCATATATTCACTACCAACTAAAACTACTTTCTAATAAACTTTGAATCTTTACAGAGAGCTTTTTGGAAGTTATAAATACAAGTAAAACACATCCTTAAATTCGGATATCATTATATAAATCGATTCGTCTAGAGCTTTCCAACTTTCTTATTACCTTTCGATTCCAGAATACTATTTGCTATATCTTTTATATTATTTATTCTAAAACTAAATCCTTTATCATTTATATCAAATATATATTAAATAATAACCTTTTCTTCCAAAATAGTTAAATTATAACTTTTTAATCGGAATTTTATATAAAGAATCAAATTATTCATTCTGCGGATAAGTATTATATATAATATATTATATAGCTTAGCAGCCTTTCGAATACTCAGTTTTTTGTTTTTTTAAATAACTCTAATAACTAAAAGTATTTGTGCTTCTTTACTATTCGATTATATAATGAATTGTTGATAAATCACATGTTGAAATGGAAAAATAATAATTGAGGTAAAAGTGATGCACATGTTGATATAGTGCATATGCTGATAAACCACGTTAACCTGTATCTCATTACTCACAAAATGTGTTCTTACAATCTCCAATGCTTTCCCCACGCCCCACACGCCAAAATAAACGGGCCGCGCAATCTGCCCGAAAGCTTGATTTCTATCCTGTGAAACTAAGCATCCCTCCACTGTTGATTATGCCGGCAGTAGGGTATCGTACCTGGATCTGGCGACATGTGCTATCATGACGGGGTGCTGTGTAACGCACATGGATGCTTAGAGCTCTACGTCAGCTCATGTATGAGGGGAATAAGATAAGGAAAGGTAAGTGGATTGATTGCTGATAGGAAAGAGAAGGGAGAGTATAAGTATTGTATTTCTCTTCAACTACCCTCTCTTTTCTGCCCATGTTCTGTCTCTCTTAGTTTATCTACACTCTGATATCTGCAAATCTGAATCTATTAATCTTCTACAATGGCAACCATCTGTAAGCACTCTTTCTTCAAACCTCTCGACATACTACCACGCTAATGTCATTTCGCAGATGATGAACCCACTGGCTGCAACTGCGATAATGAGTCAACCTATGATCAAACAGCCATAGACGCAGCATGTAAACAAGCATTACTGCTCGCATCTGAAAAGAAAACAGTTGGAAAGGATAAATATCCTCATGCCTATAATGGTGAGCTCCGCTATTACCACCTCTCCCCCCACTTTTCTCCACCACTAATCCCTTCCGCCCAGACTACGAAAAGTTCACCTTCATCCCCGCCGCCAAAAAACCATATCTTGAGTTTCCTATTCTCTCCAACGGTGCAATATATACTGGTTCGGATCCCACTTCTCCAGGTGCGGATCGCATCGTTATTGGAAGCATTGCTACCGATTACAAATCCGCCGTTTTCTGTGCTGTGATCACACATGATGGAAGTACTAACAATGGTTTTACTGAGTGTACGAATACTGGAGATAGTGGAGAGGGAGCTTATGAAAGGAGAGACAGGGGAGAAGAAGGAAAGGAGGGGAGGGAACTATTGGAGAGAATTGATTTGTAACTTCGATGATCTGGATGGGTGTGACGTTGGAGGTCCGAATAATAATACTTATACGGGTAGCTCTATGAGATGCTTACGGTATTCCAAAATGATAGGACAATGGATGTAAATTTGATTTCATTGCTGCACATCTCCAAACTCGAATCTATCAAAATCTGCACGGGCGACGATGGATTCTAATATCAAAAACTGCATTTGTATCTTATCTATTCTAATCCCACATATGGCCCGCACTAGAGGGTAAATCATAATCAGCAAAGTCGCGACCTAAATCTCATTTCCATCTTCGAGTCTTCTATATCCGTTCTACCCGTCCTTTTCCATACCCATATTTCCAATACAATACGTCATATCTCAAGAGTGAAGCCCAATTTTCGCCCCCTGAACGAAATTTCACAAAACCAAACTCAATCCTTCATAAAATCCCTCAAATTAAAGATTATTCCCGCCCCCATTAACTCTAACCGAATATCTCCAATCTGGTTTTCCTTCCCCCATTCCACTCCCCAGATCTGGACCTGTCAATCCACTCCTTTCTCTGTCTCGCATGCGATCTCGCTTACGTATCCAATCTATCGAGTCTCCGAAATCTACTATATCTTCATGAGGCCCTTCTTCGACTGTCTTTACATTTGAGGTTGGTTGATCAGGGGTTTTTGGTTGTTGTGCGGGAGAAAACGGGAAGGAAAAGGAAGAGAAGTGGGGTTGATCTGTGAAAGGATTTTGTAGTGTGGATTGAGATGCTGTTGAAGGTGTCGAAGGAGTTTGGGAGATGGAACTACTGGCGCGGGTATGTGTACCAGTAAGACTGCGCATGGTATTCCATGTCAATATTCTCTGGACTCCCATCCCAGCAGTAATTTTGCCAGCGTAGGCAGGTGATTCGTTAACTTGTGTCATATTGCCTCCCATTCCACTACCGTTCCATTCAGCAACGCCAAATCCGCCAATGCTTTTCCGGTGTTGCTTATTCTTCTTCTTGCGGCGGAGGAAATACCATATTGCTGTTAGAATGAGAGCTAAGAGGGCTAGAGACCCGATGGTGATACCGGCGATGGAGCCTTTGCTCAGGCCGTGCTGAATTGAGGTTGTAGAGGGGAGGATGGTGACACCGACGGATTGAGTACCGGCTCCAGTGTTGGACATAAGAGTCGCGTCAATCGTAGAAGAGGATGTGGTTGTGGTGGTGGATGAAATTGAAGTTGTTGGTGCAAGCAATGTTGACGAGTTGGAGCTTGTAGGTGTGATTGTCGGTGTAGGTGTAGAAAAATATGATGAAGATGTAGATGAATATGAAGTATCGACTGTACTAGTGGTATTGGTATTTATAGATGTAGGGGATATATATGATGCTGATGGTGAAGATGAGGTAGTTGAGGCAGCTGCGGTAGTGGTGGTAATAGTGTTCGTAGATATCGCGGAATCATAGCTACTAGTCGTAGTTGGAGAATTGGTGGTCGAGGGAGGGCTGTTTGAATTTTGAGGGCGAGGAGGTGGCCCATTGCCATTATTGCCATTATTGTTCACTCCCATATTATTTCCATTGCCCATATTAGTAGCTCCATTCATATTTCCTGGCCCTGGCCCTCCATCTCCGCCATCTAGCTGATTTCCCTCCCACCAATCTGTACCACCACCTTGCACTTCTTCATCCCCGAAGCCAGGTGGATAATCTTGGGATGCCATAAATTTTCAGGAAAGCTATATTCAATCAGATAAAATGAATCTCAAATAGGTCAGTAAGCCCCAAAAATTTTGAGTAATTGAATTTTTGCGAAATTAACATTGCATTTCATATGCCGATCAATCCATTTTTGAATTCTTAGTCCAGACCAAAGGAAAATAAATGAGATTTTCATCTGTAGGTAGGTTCGGAAATTCAGAAGTAGATGAATTTTAGATCAGTGAGAAAGAGCAAATATGAACACGAGCCGACAGTGTCAAATTTGGCCTCAAACCATCCCGCGACAATATACGACTGGCCACGCACAAGATGTGCCATCTCGACCTCTATCTCCATGCCAAGATACCTGAGCGCTCAAGTTCGGATGAAGTTCTTCTACTGATAAAAACGTTCACGGTTCGTTTTATACGGCTATTCGGATTGGGCGAATTGGGAGATGGTATGTTGCATTACGAAGTTAAAAACATCATTTCATGGTTGAATTATATCCTGAGATATTGCCATCAAAGAAAGTAAATACAGCTCATGATATCTAGTGCTTTGACCTCCTCGATGATTTGGTGACATGAACGCTTTGGAGAAGTTGATGGTTATAGTGGGGTGTTGGTGTTTCATGTTTCGAACTTGACGTGAAGTCGGTCTGAGAAACTGTCTCTCTTCAATAAATAATCTATCTTGCTAGAAGAGTTTTGTGAACTTGTGGGGTCAGACAAGATGACAAAGTAACCCTCGTCGTATTGGTATATTTCCCCAGCATGATGCAATCAGTTCTCAACGATGCGAATTCATTACTGTGATGGTTCCTGCCTTTCTTGACCAACTAGTTTCAAATGAGGAATTTCAATCAATTCCTAATACACATAAAGCATCCCCAATACCGGTATTCACAGCTAGATCCTCAATTGAATCATGGACCTGCGTTGCAACTTCTACCCATAGTTCTAGGAAAGGCGTCGCGTTTGATTTAGCCATGATATTGAGAACGTAGAGCCCTTGCCGGGAGCACCACCTGCGTCTGATCTCTCCAGGATGCATAGCTATCAGAACCATTCCTATTCCTTGAGCATATCCTTCCAGATCGAATTGAGATAACAATACTCTCCCAAGTCGATGGCATTCGTCGTAGTCATGCTTCTGGTATGCGTTCATGGCTTGGGTCGTTATTGTTTCTTGTGATTCTAACTGTAACATTTCATCCTGTGCATCACTTGATTGTAAACGTTCAAGTCCTTCATAGTCCATAGCATTTCCAACTCGATCAATTACCTCTTCGTAGGTTTCGTTTTTATCTGGCTTCACTTGTTGGACAAGAATGAAATTGACAGCTTGCAACATGTACAAGGATCTATCGAATTTCGCACGTATCTCATGAAAGTCCGGTCCAAGTGTAGCTACACCAACTCGATCACAGTCTGCGCTTGCTTTGGCGACCATTTTTCTCGCCACCCGGTTTGTATTTAACAATCTTTGCCCAAAGTCAACATTGTTTGGGGATTTCAAGTCGGCTTCTGCCATGAAGTCAATAGAGCATTGTGTCTCTTGGTCGGCCTCGCGCTTTAGATTGTCGGCAAAGCAACGAAGCAGTCGAAGTATCTCAGAATCTGAGAGTTCACCGGGGCTTTGTTTAAAGTAACGTTCAAGCGCACTGTCACATTCGTCGACACTTCTTACTGTATTATCCCGCATATTAAGGTATTGCACTCTTCTTAACTTGTTGAACTCATTGTCTCTCTGTACTAACGCGACGTCATAAGCCTTTCTCTGTTCTGGATTTAATGATGAGAGTAGTTGAGCATTCGATTTTACAGCTTGCACTTCATACATCCACTTTCTTTGGGAATTGTTGAAGATATAACTCGACAACTCCGGGCGTGAGGGGTCTGGTTCGATAACAACAACTGGAGCTGGTGTAGGTGCTATTATAGACACGCCAAAGTTTGTAGCCATTTGATCCCAAAATTCGTCACTATGTATGAACTCGTAATACTTCGATACAATGGGTACAAGTTTATTCGTCTCCTCATATTGTGCGAAATGCTCACCAGCTTCGTGCAAGAATATTCCCTTATCATATTTACGCGCGGGAATCTCTTTGCTGAGTAATAAAGCTACTGCTGGAGCACCAACAATAATTCCAGGATTAAGAATTTTTGGCATTGCACCGAGGAGCTATACGAGTGGTCAGTTATTATGCCTTGGGGATTTTTGGAAACTAGAGTTCTTAGCTAACCCCTTTGACAAATGAATAGCCTAACCTACAAGACCAGAAAGTCAGTCCTGCCTATCGAAGAATAGCTTTTTGGGAGGGAGGGAAGGAAATAGGGGACTAGAGGGCTAGAGCTACACTGGAATGGGAGTAAGATTATTGTACATGATAAAGCATGAAAGTGGAGTTCGAGATCGAGGAACAGAATTAGGTAGCAGAAGCAAAGGATGTAATAACCCAATCAAGCTTACTCGCAAAACACCTCAGCACCATTACCATTCACATCGCCACCGTATGCCGGCTCATTTCGTACAATGGTTCGCCCCATTGGAGGATCTTGAAGTTGGTTCAATGCGTGCTAGAATACTGTTAGCGCTTACCCTACGAATTGGGAGAACGAGTTTTACTGCGAACTCATGCATAAGAGTCGAGGCAATATAGAATTGGCAAGATAATCTCTCTATTGGTGACAGATCATTCCTGAACAAAGGTAAAAGCAGTTCGAGGGATATTTCAATCCAAGCTTTGTTTTCCGTGTAGAACTCAAGATCTTTGTTCTTCCGCTCGGTAGATACAATAGTGAAGCCTTCCCAACCCAAACCAGATCCATTTGGTGTTCTCCTATCCCAGGGTATGAGGAAGGAGGAACCAATACCAAATTGAACTCTTTCTCGCATTATTCTCTTCAACTCTTCTGTTTTTTCTGTTGTTTGAGCACTACTTCGAAGCTCAGGATTCCGTTTGTGAAAGAACTTCAAGGGTCCCTGTTCCATCTTCTGCCAAGCAGGACGACGATCGAAACGTTCAGGAACATCCGTACGATCTCCGAAATAGAAACCATCAAGCTATGGAGTCAACCATAGGTACTCATACAAAAGCTGATGATTGTGAGAATTATAACACATACCCAGCATGTGGCCGCAGAATGGTGCAAGAATCTAGTACACAATCTCAAAATCGGGTCTAAACGTCGCCAGACGGCAGGATTATCTGCCGTCCATACCCCAGTATTGTCTGGCTCTATAGGGAAGAATGGTTTGTGCTGTGGAAAATCCATCTGAATCACTGGCCATGTCTCTAGCGTGTGACGAGGCTGCCATTGATTTATCTCGAAAAGTGGACTAGAGAATGATTAGACATGTTTTCCCCAGTATCCATATCTCCCAGAGAAAATGCTGCACTGTGAGTAACATGTCTCGCGAGTGCAACGGCAGAATAAGTTATTAATAAATCAGTATAAGAAAAGACCAATTACTCAATAGGGTTGGTAAGAGTTGGTAAATAGTTTAAAGGATAAGGATATGCTCCGATTTCTTCCAAGAGTTCGGGCCAATATCCAGACAAAATCCACTTCTGATGATTCTTCCTTTCAGCCTTCAATTGCTGGTTATCAAGTGCGTTTGGTGTCAAAGCTAAGGCCGATTAATTATGCCACATTGAGCAAGAGATGAAATACACACCCGACTTTTTATAAGGAAAAAAGAGTTGTGTCGGGTCCATAACCTCCGGCAAAACTCCATATTTATTGGCCCATTCCGTACCAGCCTGAGTGGACCAAATGCTGTGGAATCTTCCAAACTTGGGATCCCAGTTTGTGAGGGGATTCTTGGCAACCATACTTATGGCTACTTCTAGACAATGTTTATTGTAGCTATATGTTAATAATGTTCAGTAAATAAGCACTATCGACGACATGTACCCCCTCGATGTATGTCGGCGAGAAAGTCGTGAAATCGTGATATAAGGATCTGGTACGAAGTTGGAATTTCCATTTGTGAGCAATTCAGAAATGAATTAGCTTGTGACGAAAACAATACATCATATGCCGTGCAATTTGTTCATTCCTTGAGAGAAAAGTAAATCCTTTGTTTCCACCTGAGTAGGACACACCATACTTTAGGAAGGACCATGAAAGAGCTTTCTTTTGCAGCCTCCTTAAGAACAAAGATTCAAGACTATCGGATGATTCTTAAGCCCACGTCTTTTCTTTTTCAATTTTGGCAAAGAGAGTCTTCAGAAAGGAACATATATTTTGCTTGGAGAGAACGGGGGTGAACCACTTGGAAGCCAATGTGGCTTCAAAACAACTAGATATGAAGCATATCAAAAAGTATTTTTTCTTCTACCCATCCTATTCCTGGTCGATTTCACGAGCCAAAGTCTTAGATTGAGGGAATAATCGTGACGATACACATGTGGTACATAAATGATGTATTACTGTAAATAAATAATCCTAGAGAAGCCGTTGAATACAGTGTGTGGCTTATGAAATGTGGCTCGTAACAGACCTCATGGGCATGTGGCTGACCATCTCATGGATCATTTTTACGGCAACTTCGGTTTTATATACCGATTACCATTATTTTCCACACATACTCTGCGGTCTGTAAAATCGTATCAGAAACTGTCTGAAGATATAGAGAATTCAAGTAGCAAAGAGCTATATCTAGGTGTCACAAATCACTAATCGATCAGCACAAATACGTTCCTGCTTTCGCCTCACTCACGGGCACGACGAACGAGTCAAGTCAAACACAGTCCAAGTTTTTGAACATCGAGCCCGAACTTGAATGGCATTCTTTAGTGAGTGGCTTATCTTCGGCCTCACTTGAGAAATAAATTTTAGGACAAAAGGATCACCACAGAATCACGAAATGCAAAAGAAGTTTGAAAAGGATCGAAGATCAAATTCATCGAAATCACTCTAATATACAGAGCCATCCAAGATATACACAAAAATGCTCCCAGAGCCAATAGCACGAAAAGAAAGAACACAGTGGGTGTGCTGTCTCGGGTCCCACCAATACCCCTAATACCAATAACATATACAAATCTTTTGAACATCGCCAAAAACTAACAATCTCGTAAAAACAATAAGTCATGCATAAAACATGCAATCATAGAACTACTTAAGATGTAGGTTGAGGAGCGGCAGCAGAGCCGGATGCGAAGCCAGATGGGGAAGCACCTCCGAATCCTGATGGAGCAGCTCCGGATGGGAAGCTAGATGGGAAACCGCCTTGGTTTCCACCGAATCCTCCAGATGGGGAGGCACCACCTTGTTGACCGCGGAATCCTCCGGATGGGGAGGCACCACCTTGTTTGCCACCGAATCCACCAGTTGGTCTAGCACCACCTTGGGAGAAAGTACCAGATGGCTTAGCTTTGAAGTTACGGAACTTGGCGCCAGTTGGGGAAGCACCTCCTTGACTGCTGTGTCCGTGGCCACCGTTGTGACCTCCACTGTGACCTCCGAATCCACCTGATGCTTGAGCAGCACCGGATGGACGAGCTCCAGTTGGCTTGGAGCCACCGGCGGAGCCAGTTGGTTGTTGCATCTCTCCACCTGGTGCAGAGGCAGCACTGCTTTGTTGACGTCTTTGATGACCGGAAGCCTTAGCACCTCCAGTGGCCTTAGCTCCAGAGGAACCAGTCTTTGATGCACCACCGAAGCCACTTCCAGAAGCGCCTCCCTTTCCACCCTTTCCACCCTTGCGGCCACCCTTGCCGGAAGCTTGAGCAACGCCGGACTGTTGCGCCTTGCTGTTTCCGAAGTTTGATGAACCAGTTGGTTGAGCACCACCACTGTGGTGTCCTCCACGTCCTCCAGCTCCGCCGGAAGCCATGGCGAAACCGCCAGATGGGGAAGCACCGCCAAATCCACCAGCACCACCGGTAGGGCGGGATCCAATCTCACCTGTACCAGTTGGGGCAGCTCCACCGAAAGCAGAGGATTGGCCAGCTACCAGGGGAGCGGCGAGGAAAGCAGCAGCGATAATCTTTGAGAAATGCATTTTGATGATTTGTTAAAATTTGAAAACCTTGAAATGTGGTTGGTAAGAGGAAGTTGGTTGAGAAAAAGTTGAAAAAGTTTTTTTTTTAAGAGAGTGATATGAAGGGTTGTTGAAAAGGCTCAGACCTGGAGCTGAAGATGTGAAAGAGAAGAATGAAGCTTGAAAAGACTGGATGCTCTAAGACTGGTTTTTAAAAATAACGTGGGATTCACACATCCTTTATATCCATCTTGCCGACATCTACTTGGTGGTAATCATCACCCAATTCAAGTATAGGGGTTCAATGATACTGGCAGACAATTGTTTCAGAAAATACTGTCAAACCCCTGCCAATGGGTCTGCGTTCCTCCACGATATAGTTAATGGAAGGGAACAGGAAGCAAGTGATGAACCGGCATTCACAAAGTCACTGATGTTTCTTGACTGACTGACCGGAAGATGCCTTCTTACCCACCCCACAAGGTGACCAATATGCGCGCTAATGAGTTATTGAATATACATGAGGGTCCGGTATGTATCCCAAAAGCAAAAGGTAACGTCAATCTACTCAATCTGGGGTGTGCTATAAGATGTTAGCGCTAGCGTATCCATAACAAAAAGCTATCCAATTGCAAAATTCAGGGATAAGCTTGTTGTTTGAGCCCTGCGCCTGTAGCTCTGCAGATAAATTAATGTCCAGATGAACCTTGTTTCATTAGCTCTCACCTTAATTTCTACGGAACATTCTTGCAAAACACTTGGAGCAAATATATGTAGAACCGCGAAGATAGATTAGTTGTGAGACCAAACAGCTTCACCCTTATGTGTAAGCTGTCAGACAATTTGCCATGTCATTCAAACAATAAAGATAGTCTAGGTTGTGATGTTACCATCGAACCCTCTCATGATGTAAACAAAGCATGGCGTCTAGAATTATCCTCTAAATCAGTATCTAAGTTTTAGCTTATGCCATACGTTGTAATGATCGCTCCTACCTGCATGTAAACAAAATGATCAGGGGAAATATCACCAGCGGATCGCCAAGGATTCACGCGTGTATACTTCCATTCAAAAAGGACGTTTCAACTTCGCGCCGTTGAAGCCTGTAATCATCTGTCTCTCGTCATAAATTTCAAGAAGTTCTAGACTCCATGAGCTCAGTCGAAAGTCGTGCAAGGTGATTTTCAAGAAAATTCACTTCAAGGACCACAAGTCGCGGGGATCAATCTACTAATTCTCCTAGACTCTCACAATTAATCTGTTTATGTGGGACGATTGTACTAATTCGTATGGTAACGGAGATCTGGGACGGTAGGTTAAGATGAATAGGCTTTAGAAGTTGGTGATGACAACAGAAGGGATGACCGTTCTATGGCTTGTGCGTTGGGATGTCCGCGTAAGCTTTTCAATATCTGAGACGAAGTGAACCCCTGATTTCCCCACATATACAACCTCCTTTCATTTAGAAGTTTATGTTGCTTTTGCTAGAAGCGAGTTGAACTCGATTTAGCTGCCGAGCTGTGAATGGTGCCATTCATGAGAAAGGGGAGAGGAAATAAGTAACGTGGATTGTAAAGAAATTATGTTCAACAGAGAGCAAGTGTGGAGTTGGTATGGTGGTAAAGATTACTTCATAGACTAATAAACTCGCCCTGGTTTGACAGTCGAAGGCATACTTGTCAGCCATTTAGTCAAGAATTGGGCATGTACTATTCTGACATCGATTCCATCTCGCCTTCGCCTCCTTCATCCTTCAAGACTTAATGATGCCAAGTTATCTGACAACTTCAACTGTAGAGTTTTCCTGGTTCAGATTCTCATGCCAGATGCTGGACATTATCTTGCTGTATTTTATCCGTCAGCCACATAGCCACTGGCAAGTGGGTGTTCTTTACCCACGGACACTCTCGAAGTTGAAAATCCTGTCTAGTATCTTTCTGAATCTTTATTCAATACTTTAGATCATAGAACCCATTCGCCAAGTCATGAAACAGCTAAAGGATCTATCTATCTTAGGGTTCAGATTCGTATGCCTTTACTTTATTCAGAGCATTTCATTGCTGATATGTCTTGGCAAGAGACAGGTACCGTTGAATACCGGTATTGATAAGTTTCTATCTTTATCTCAAAAGTTTACTCAAGTACAAACACGCCAAGTTAGTGGCGTGTCAATAGTTCTCAAAGATCGACTTGTTTGCGTATACACATTCATTCAAACCGAAAAGCTATTTTTCTTTCTCTTGAGCTTCATGTACATGCGAGCTTATACTCACACGTCAGCATGACGATCTTTGGAAATGTTAACATCCGAGCCATCGAGGCGAATACCGTCTGTTTCTTCTTGACTCAAGTTTCTTCTTCTCTCTCTGCCTCCTGCTTCGGCGTACTTGTGCACAATATCTTGCCAGCTTCTAACAATGGTGTACCACATCTGATATACATTTCGTGTACCATTCTTTCTCTGTCATTTCCATATGTTCAACGACGAAATGTTCCCAAACCACCCACCAGCCTCCAGGATCTACCAGAGGTTTCTCCCACCTAAGTCTCAATCTGGCTCACCATAGAGGCATGGACTACACAAAGAAGCGATTTGGACCAGACTAATAGAGCTGCGGGACAATCGTGGCAAAATTTACACGTTTAATGGCAGATCAGGAAAGTTAGGCACGCACGAAATCATAGCTCTGTCGATCGAGCACAGATCGTTTGTCTGCATATCTTTGTCTCTCAAAGGCATTCTGGGTTTTCCCTACAGTGCATCTATAGATCTGCATTTGATTCACTACCAAACTCCACAATGATGAGTTTCGATAAAATTGACGACATACTACATTTACTTTTCTTGTTTTGCCCTCGATATCCAAGGCGAGTCATGATCGATACGTCGTAAAATGCTACCAACTCTCATCTGGTATCTTGGAGGCTTCATCTGTGCAGACATCAGACTCATTGACGAATAAAGACACCCTCAGATAACACATAAACCGACCGTTCATCCTCTTGCCGGCAGATGATCATGATCAGACTCTCTAGAGTAATTCTCATATCTCTTCCTCGTGTATTTTCCCGCCCGTCACTATTGACCACCGCAAGAAATTTCGGCAGATTAGAGTACGGCAGATTCTAGAGTCAAGCATCCTGAAGCCGTTGGAGCATGGCTACTGCAGACAAGATAAGCACCTAAATTAACATGACTGCTAGTCAAGGTAGCTGAAGATGGTACTGCTCACATGCACCTCGCGCATCCGAGATACTTCATTTCGTCCTGCGTTTCTCATCCTTAAAAGAAGAGCAATTTATAGGTAGGTATTTGCAGTCTTCAATCTCATGAGGCTTCATGCTTCTTGTCAGCTCAATAAATAGGAAGGTATTCCGAATACTTTTACTTTCGCGGGGTATGAATTCCCCCACCACATCGGAACAGCTCGGGATAAGCCCCACCGAAGAAACTCCACTGTTCGTTCAATCGTCGTCATATCATTTATGTTGTACCAGAAGAGCAATCTCAATTGATAATGTAGCTACATCCTAAGTATTTTCCCATATTGCTTTTGTTTTCCGTTGCATAGCGTTAGCCTTTCTCATATTCATATTCATATCTCAAACAAGAGCTTGTACAATGGCAAAATCAATGCAAGATAACAAAGCAATCCGCATGCTTCAAGCAGCAGAGGATGGCGGATATGGTGTTGTAGGAGTAGTTTCCGTGAGTAAAGTTCACTCCTCTATCCCTCTCAAAACAAAACACTCATGTCTCATCTTCAGTACAATCTCGAAACTATAACCGCCGTCGTCAGAGCCGCAGAACGCAAACGTTCCCCCGCACAAATCCTCCTCTTTCCCTGGTCCCTCCACTACTCACCCCTCTTAATCCACCTCGCAGCCGCCGCCTGTCGCACCGCCACCGTCCCCATAGTTCTACACATGGACCATGCACAATCTGAAGATGAAATTCTTGCCGCTGCAGATATGGGACTCTTCGATAGTATAATGGTCGACATGTCGCATTATGACAAAGAAGAGAATCTAGCCAAAACAACTAAATTGACAAAGATATTACGAGAGAAAGGCATAGCGGTTGAGGCGGAATGTGGTAGGATTAATGGGGGCGAGGACGGTGTGAAGGATACGGGGGATTTAGAGGGCTTGTTGACAACTCCTGAAGAGGCGCTCGGGTTTGTAGACACGGGAGTAGATTTCTTGGCGCCGGCTTTTGGAAATGTGCACGGGAATTATGGCGGAGTGGAAAACATTAAGCTGGATTTTGATAGGTATGTGCAGGATGGTTCTTTGAAATACATTTGCATTGGTATTGTTGCAGGCTAACATCGGTTCCCAGACTCGAGAGTATAAGAAAAGCGACAAATGGTCGAGTAAGGCTAGTTCTTCACGGCACGAATACATTCCCAGACGATACGATGAGAGGCTGTATCAAGGGGGGTATGACAAGGTGCAATCTAAACGATTTGGTTTTGAATACGTATAATAAATATGTAGCAGAAAATACAGGGAAAGTTCCTTTGACGGAACTTATGGAGAAGGGAACCAGTTTGATCCAGGAATTGATTGAACACCAAATGGATATAATTGGATCGACTGGAAAAGCATGATGTAAAAGTAGAGGACGACCAATAGGATTTTCCAAATACTTGGTAGGTTAATTACTGAATGAATGCAATAAATGGCTCTTTGTACAGCAAGTGCACATGTTGACTTCTTTCTTTAGCAAGTGCGAGGGAAGTAGAAAGCTGAAATGCCTACTTGTATCCGAACTTCGAGCTCTTTGCAATCTTGTGATAATGCGTTGAAGTTACAAGATCTTACTGGAATTTCAACTTTGGCCTAACTAGCATCCAAATAAACAAGAATCAGGTACGGCGCCATCACATCACATCACATGGTATCACAATCAGATTTTGGCAATATAGAGCGTGAGAAGCAGAACACAATTAACTATCAACCGACCTTCACGATGCGATCAAAAAGAACACATCTTAGAAGTCACAGAAGTAGAAACCAACCCGCCCTCCCTTATGAACATAATAACACCATAAACCCATCAGAAATCCGTGCAATGCAATGCATTAAAAATCACAGCTTTTGTTTGAATGAAAAGAAAATTCTCGACTCCCATCTTACTTTTATACATCTTAATGATTTTATCCTGTTTATACAAATCATACCCATAACCAATACCAGTATGCTAAAAATCCTAAAGTTGGAGGGTCGCGCGATGTATGGGACGAAGACGAAGATGAATGCAAGTAGACAAACAAAGAGGGAGAAGAGAAGAACGAATAGTCAAGTCTACTGGTAGATCTTGACAGAGTTGACAAGCCAATATGCGTCGTCGAAGGCGTGGGGAACCTTGGCGACGTATTCTTGACAGGTGGAGTAGCCGGTCTTAGCGGGGCAGTCAGACCAGTCGGACCAAGCTTGGCCACCGGCTCCGGCGCCGCAGAAAGTGGTGTCGAAGTACTAGGGTGGGAGTTAGTTTGATGGGAACAGAGATGAATGTGGGCAATGAAATGCAGAAATAAAAGAATAACACTTACGACTGTCTGAGCAGGGAAATTAGCATCGATATCACAACCACCATTCGCACTATCGAAGTTTGCGGTAGGGGTTCCCCACTTTGTTGGGTCTGGAGTACCAGCAGTGATATCGGCGGGGATCTTGCTGCGTGCGAAAAACCAGACTCGGATAAATGTAGAGGTCCATTGCATAGCATAGATACCACCTCCATTCTTGTTGAAAGGGGTACCGTAGGAGTTGGCGGTTGATTCAACAGAACATCCCGCGCCATTGGACAATTGACAGTCGGTGTTACCGTTGTTGACACTTCCAAGCTCGGCGGACTTGGGAGAATTGAAGGTGCAGGCGTTCTCGGTGTGGAGAGAAATGAAGGCTTGAGTGATATCGTTGGATCCTTCGAGGATATCGATTTCACCATAAGGACCGTCACCATTTCTGATTGTCCAGCTAGCGAAATTTTTAGCGGCTAATTCTCATTGGGGAAGTAGCAGACGAGTCAACACTTACAAACCAGGCCAGGTTCCACAATCACTACCGGGCATGTGTGCGAAGTCACCAATAAGGACACCATGAGTGAACTCATCAACAGATTCAACCCAAATGCTATTGCGCTTTCCATTGACTTTGTCAGAGAGAACAGTAGTATTGTCAACGCCCATGTAAACTTGATTACCGATGACCTTGGTCAAGCCAAGCTTCTGAGCATCAGCAAGAGAGACATAGTTGACGTTTCCATTGGTTGGGTCAGGGAGCTAGATGTGAGTTAGTTGCCATTCTTAGATCGAAGGTAGTCTTAGGAATACTCACATTCTCATAGACGAAGGAAGTGAACCAGTTGGTATGGTCGTAATTATGAACCAATTTGTAACCATTAGTCACTGATGCCAAACATGAAAAGGCGCAAAGGACCGAAACTGCAAGAGATTGCATGTTGAAAGATAGTAAAGCGCTGCTGTACTAAAGGAGTGTGTGTTTGTATGAAGGAAAGTGATGTACAAAAGGTACGAAGATAAACAGACACCGATCTAAGTCAAAGAGGAGGAGAGACACTTATCAAAAGGAATGTGCTTGAGGTTGTTGAAGGATAGAGGAAATCTTCAAGTCGAGGTTCGATCGAAGACTTAAATAAACAATAAAGATTGGCATTAGGCGTTTTTCTTACAGGCTCACTTCAAGTGAATGAGCCGCGATCTCTCCACGATGTGTCAGAATCGAGATGCTTCATGGCAGACAGGATGATGGATTCAACGACTTGTATGTGAATATGGGTATTGGTTCTCTACAAATTACTAAAGAGAATCCTCTGGACCAATTGCACAACGCGAATTACCCCAGAGAGAGCATTTCAGATCCGTTAATTTTAGCTCGGAGGGAACTCAAGGAAATTTGATATGGGTATCTCCGAGGTTGGCTTGGGTAAGTGCCGATGTCAAAGAGGGGGATGGAAGGTATGACAAATTTGCTCCTGATGTTGATTCGTTCATTCGCACTTCTCACCGAAGAATCTTCTATTGTGAATCTACAAAGTGGTAGTAGGATCATTTAGAGGTATATTATGATCTTGGCTCGATGGATGGCGTTTGCAAAGAGCCAGGATGCTTGGCTATATGTGAATTTTGGTCTGATAATTCAGTTATTCTACAGAGGATTTTCACTGGCATGTCCTCCACAGTTCATTGCTTAAATATGATTGAACCAATAACAACAACGGAACAATAATCACATCGCAATGCACACCCATAATATAACCCCCAAAGTGGGTCTTCGCTAATATCATGGGATTGTGAAAACACATGTTTGTCGGTGGATGTAACACAATTTCTCACTCATGTACCAGCATTTTTAGAATAAACAAATGTGATTTGTCCTTGTATAACATGAAACAAACTCCTCTCATCAATCGATGGCGCAGTGTTGGACATATAAGCTGACTCCACTGTTAAAAAATTATTGTACGTAGTACCAAGTGAGGTTAAAATCCTTCGAGGCAGAATACGAGAATTTTATTTGTTGGTATATTTCTAGATTTGGAAGAGCCCAAGGCGGTGAACATGTGAATCTTATAAATATGGAAGGTTTGTATATATATTGGTCTTATATGCATGCAAAGTGTCTATAGATGATCTATATATGACGATATTGTTCGTGCGTGAATAAAGGGGTTGAATACATGTCATTCTGTGCTGTCAACCACAAGCTTACATATGGAATTCCAAAAATGAGTGGGAATCAATGCTCGCTTCATTCATCACAATTATTATTGGATTATCAAAAGTAAATCATAATGAAGGAATGTTCATACCGCGATGTGGAAAATAAATGCTAATGGTGATACTCACTCAAAGCGAAGAGCAACTTCATGTTAGATTCCGCTTCCAAATTTAAACATGTCAGTATGACAATTGTTTTCGCACGATAATATCAAATATAGATAAGTTGACTCCCAGCCTTGTAGTGCGTATATTTTTCAGTTCTTTGTCATCGCTCTTGTGGTCAGTCTCTGAATACATATATCTATCTCATTTTGAAAGCAAAAGGAGTGGTAGAATACAAGTAACACAAAAATTGGAGATAGAAGGCTATGGTTGCGGTATTAGTGATTGGTAGTTTTGCAGCAAAACAGGGGCTATTCCATTGACCTAGTGGTTCTTCGAAAGCTAGACAAGACAGAATCTGGCAGCTCAATTTTGTGAAAAGATAACCGTGTGGAAATAATCCAAGTCTACAGAAATATCGACTGGGCTTGTAGAATGAACCAATATGTTACTTTGGACTGACTTCGCCAGGCAGGGTTAATTAGTACATCAAGATTCCACATAGAAGAAAGAGAAAGAGAAGATGATAAGTCCAAGAAACACAATTCGCAATTCTCAATGACACGTCTTTACATATTTACATATTTTACATATTCCTCTCCCATATGATAGAAATCACGACTGATACGCCTTCCTCAAAGTGTATCTTTTCCGTCTCGAATATCGAGGCCGATAAATAAACCAATTTGCATACACAGGTAGTTCAAATATGGGTTGATGGTAGAATGCCTGGAGTTGGCCACCAAAGCTCTCAGCTCCGAAAGGTTTGGCCTCACCTCTTGAAATTTGAGAGGGGGTGGGATTTTGACAATTTAGTGTATGGTGGAATTGTTTTATTCACTTAGATTCATTCTTCATGGACTCTCTTGAACCAATCCTTGACGATTGATGAACTCTGTCAAAATTTAGATAATGTGGATCAAAGCGAGTAGTGATGATGAATGATGATGACGGCTTCATGATTTTGAATACGTTCCAAGAGTGATGTTTGATATTTGTTTTCACACTTCCCACAAATCGTTCCTCCGGAATTCAATGAGGAAAGGAATGAAATTGAGTGTCGCTAGATATCACATGATACTGGCAAACTGAATATCTTCCAGTAGTATCTCTTCTCAACACTTGTCCATCACTAGGTTTCATGAAGATGGTGATTTTGATCGAATTGAATGTTTCGGAAGATTTCATCATCGAAAGTTTGAGGGAACCACGGGGAAGATTAAATCGACATCTATGAATATACTTCGGGGAGTAGCTCGGAGTAAAGTACTATATTTGAATATTTCAAATTTTCCTTCTTTGTGGTCTAGTTACGAACTTAAGGCAGACTCGATCCTAAGTCATTGCTCAAACACAACACAGAGATAAATTGCACTCAGTATTTCCAAAAGATATGTTTTATTATCATTAATCTGCCGTTCATTCATCTATCAAAGTCCCATCGACAGTACCGCGGCCAATTGTAAGGCAAGCAGAGGTCGGAGTCTATATATAACATATATCATAAATATAACCAAATCATTATCCCATCTAGGTAGTCTTCTCAGGAGTGTCCTCAACTCTAATAGTGCCAGCCTTGCTTCCTACTGACTCGTCACCCTCATGATGAACAATGTCCTTCTTTGAATGGAGCACTGCCTCTACGTCCTGAGCTCTTTGCTCGGCGTTGACAGCTCCGAAGAGAATATCTAACTCTTCCAATGTCTTGCCCTTCGTTTCCTTAATGATGAAGAATGACCATACACACATTCCAAAACAGA